TTCTCGGTACCAGCTTGTTGCATTTGGCGGGTGGTACGCCTTTTGATCGGTCAGCTGCATTTGAAAATCACCATAATGTTGACTCGCAGCCGTTTCGGGGTCTACGTAAGGAGAAGATATGTTTTCTAAGCACAATTTTAGGCTAATGAAAATGCTGTCGTTGGCGTTAAGGATAATCTCGTCCAAAAAGTCAAAACCACAGGTGTGTCAACGCGATCACGCGCAGCCCTAGGTGATATTAAGAATAAGGCTGCTAGTATCTTGCCAAAAGAAGTTGGTAAACCAAAAGGCTTGAAGGACGAAAAATGTTTGGAACTAAGTAAGGTCCATAACCTTGCTATTACTTCACTTCAGAAAAAGAAAAACAACTCGACATGAGTATCGACGATTTAAGCTCTGAAGTTAAGGCTCAAAAAGAAACTGATCAACTCAAGGAATTTCGAGCCAGTCGAAGACTCATCCGTTCAGAATGTTTAGCGTCTCAGATGGCAGAGGAATTCTTGGAGGTTGACCGAAACGACTATGGGGACGCTGCTTCAGTTTACCCATATTCTGAACGAATATTTAATTATCTTCAAGATAGAGAACTGTTAGTACAACCACTAGTAGCTGACTACATGGCCGCAAACTGTGAAATCACCCCTAGAATGCGTTACATCTTAGTTAACTGGCTTGTCCAAGTACACTACAGTTATAAACTGCAACCTGAGACTCTCTATTTATGTGTTGGTATTTTAGACCGTTACTTATTGGTATGTTGTGTCCTTATAATTATATACGTCTAGAAAAATTCAAAAAGCTTGACAAAGGACGGGTTTCAACTGATAGGCGTTGCATCATTATTCATTGCTGCCAAATTCGAAGAAATGTATCCACCCGATATAAGCGACTTCTCATCAATTACAAACAATACCTATTCTAAAAGTGACATACGAAACACTGAACAAATTATATTGCAATCGACTGATTTCTATTTGTCGATTCCGACTCCGTTAGTATTTCTGCGTCGTTTATCAAAGGCTGTGGATGTAAGCTTGTTTTATTTGACCTTCCTTTCCAGGCTGATAGAACCATGCACAACCTGGCTAAATATTTCTTAGAGCTTACAATACAAGAGTATGATCTTGCACATCTGCCAGGGAACCTCCGCTCCGTGGTTGCGTTATGCCTATCTCGAGCGCTGTGTCTAGGCACTTCAGAACTTGAAAGGGCTTGGTGTGACAAACTGTCCTATCTTAGCGGTTACAAGTTGGACGATATACGTGACCATCTGCAGATTCTCGCCCGGGCTGCTTATCGTCAAAATTCTCCCTCCAAATATAGAGTATGTTTTGATTTACTAATATATGATATTCGCAGGCAATATTTAACAAGTATCGTGTGGACGATTTTTATGGACGTGTGGCCTCTTTGCCTCAACTTCGTTCTTATCTAATGGAAACCCTAGCAGATCTCAAATTCGACAGTGATGGAGAGGCAAATCCAGCGTAGTGGTGTCTAGATAAAGTTCATGCAAATAAGAATCCAATGGTGTCGTCACTTGATTGTCTAATTGTCTTAGTCTGTTTATTTTCCCGATTATTTATTTTCTATCTCCTATCGAGATCCTTGATTATATCATTGGAATAAGTGTATATTTTACTATGATCGTCTTCGATTTTAGTGTATAATCTTATAATACACACTTTTATCAACCCACACTTGTCATTTATCACTTTGTATAACCGGGAATATGTGGTATTACTACACGAACTTCCAGACTAGCTACATATGTTCCGCACACCTTATGAATGTTGTGGGTTTAGTTCTTTGGCTCACTACATTTGATCCAATGTTAACGTTCGCGTTATGGTATGGTAGCAGCCTACAAAACTTGTGTCATACTCCATATCTTGCTCCGTCTCAGGTGACGATAATCCATCAGCTTGAGTAGACGGTTGTAAAAGCAAGACCACTAGAAGTGTTGCTAGTTTAAAGAAATAGTCGGTCCTGAGAAGAACTCAAGCTTATGGTCTTAGCTTCATTGATGTGTTGGACGGTCCCTAGCATGCTGTCTGAAAAGCCCTGTGGACAGGTCCTGGGTTCCAGCAAGATCTACCGTGGGCGCTGCGGGTTTGTCTGCCACTGGTTTCATATACTCGGGTTATGCTGATGAACGCAGTGGTACTACTGTTTCTACCCCTACGGATGTTTCACAGGAACATCCCTGTTAGCTTATATTTTCTTAAAAACTTAATGGTTTTTGTTTAGCTTTGTACCACCTGGGTTTGCTGATTTTGGTTGTTATGCAGGGAATTAACGTAAGGAACAGAAATCGACTAGGCTTAAAAACCTCGAGGACCTGTAAATCCCTGGAAGACCGAGTGGTAGACGTCAACTAAGTTCACTTTTAGGTTCAAGTGAGACAATGCTGCACATAGCATCTTGTCTTGAACTACAGCTTAGTACCGTGTTAATAATTCATTTATATGACCCTGATAACATTACTACAGAATATCCACACTGCTGGGTCTTTTATGAAGTGTGATCCCACAGGTACAGCGGCTCAAACAATTGCTTGATTTAGTCCAAATCAATTTATAATATGGTCGTCTTTTCTGTCTGTATGAGCACATGTAATCTTTCTCGACAGCTAGTTATCGAAGGTAAAGTTGGTGCTAAGGATCAATTAGACTTCTTACTCATTTTCTTCCAAAGCTCTTAAGATAGTCTTTCAGCAGGTTCAAACAAGATTGAATTGGGTATCAAGAAAACCTTGTAATTTGACCGGTATGATGAAAAGAAAATATCCTGACGTTCAAAACACGGTTACGAGATATACATCTTTAGTCACTGACTATGTTGACAAAAATACGCCCAATCCAAGCGACTGGCTTTAACAGTTCTCTCAAACTGAGGGTTTGTTATTATGATAGGACCGACAAATTTATTCCTCCCACGTGTTATATTGAGTGGGTTAATTAGTTGTTTGTCTAAACATCAGCAATCTTTGTCCTGATTTATATTGTAACTTAATTAAAACATGAAACCTGCCAACTCAACTTGGTAGCATAACCTACTTGCAGTGTAAATCGTTATGGGACATTCAGTAAACGGTGATTACCAGCACCTCCTTTGAAACTTCTGAATGCAAAGTCCTCATGCTGTTTTTGTTTCAGTTACCAAGTACCACTTATTCCTCAAAATTTTTGTTTATGAAACTCAATCGATAAACTCATAGTCATATTTCTTCGCCTCATCAATGAGCGAGAATTATTAATACACTGTTAGGTGCCACAACCCATCAACACTTCTGTCTAATGCATTCCGTTTGAGTTTCTTGCGTAAACAAACTACATCATTACCATAACTAAAAATTTTCTAACACGACCTTGTTTCGCAAACTAGTTGTTTGTCACTAGTGCTGTATAATTTCGTAAACAACTTCCCAGTATTGTTGAGCATGCTAATAATCTACAATAACTGTAAAACTCGAGAAGTCGTCAGGCTAACAATATATAGTAATAGAAACTAAATCTGATTATAGTTTCCCTTCTCAAAAGATTCTGTTGCTTGAATGAAATCATTAATTTCAAAGGTCACCAATCCATTTATCAGGAATAACAAGTGACATGATAAACAATGATTCTAAAGGACTATGAAAGAATAAGCTTAGGAATTGAAAAAGTATCGTAACTCCCTTCACTAAGAAATCTCTATAGAACGGTTTGCTTTCAAGAAATGAAGCTAAAAGTATCCATTTCCGAAAGAGAATTAAGTCACAAAGATCTATTTCGTGACTTGCATGTAAATTAGGCATTTTAATAGTTTCCATCTTGTTTTCGAAGAAATTACACTGTTGGATAAATTACGTCTCAAATAAGTATACGTCTGCCTTCAAAAAATAATATTTCCATCAGTTTACATAATATCTTTTGTACGCATAGATCTTAGTATTAGCGTTCTAATTACATTTGTAAACGACTTCATTCCTTGTTTTCTTACCGTACTTATTAACATTTCTGAGATCCTCGACCTGTTCTGTCACTATCCTGGAAGTCTTATCAGTCGTGACAACTTGGTGTCTGACAAAACCTCTGCATGGACTCAGAAAACTCGCTTGGCTTAAACTAAATTATATCACCTGTGGCATAGGTGAGATACCCGGTTACCAACGAAAGAACGAGTGTAATGAGCAACCTTAGCTCTTTTTCACTCTAAGACCATGAAATATGGCCTTTAAAAATGGATGATATTTGTAGACCACTGTTATTCAATCGTAGAAGCTCTCAAAGTGTTGGTCTAGTATGTTGGGCTGCCGAGTGAGCGAAACCGAGGTTAGACGCAGATCGATCAATTAAACTGTACATCTTCATCAACTGCAAAGTTTAGGATATATATTGAGTATACCCAATAACCGCCCGCCTTCACGCACAATGACAGCTGATATAAGGTTGGGTTGTAAGAAAGCATCGCGAGTTCATGAAGTTATTACTTCCAACACCCTGGTATTTGTCTTGATAATATTTTACTATGCTGATATAGGCCCAGGACAGAGTGGGTTGGAGAATGCTGGTCGGCGGCCTATGCTCCATTGGGAGTAACACATGTAAGTAAGCAAAAGTAAATACTGATATAGCATAGTGGCCTGAATTGATACATATATGTCCCATGGCTCTACGCTACGTATAAGTGAATGACTACAATTAACTTAACTATCATTCACATTAATGAATGTTGCAGAATTTTCGTTCTGCTGCTCTATACCAGTCTTTTTAAATGCATTGGCCAACATCAATATCTTTTTCTCATGTTACCGGACAAAGTCAGTTTACCTGTTAATTCTAATAGAAAACAAATATATAGCCTAATTAAGACTGAAGAAATTGACGAAAATTCATGTTTCCATAATATCCCCTTTATGGCTTATCTTTCATTTGGATTTTTCCTCATTAGTTCAGTAACCACATTATTTGAGAACAAGGCTTTGATTTGTCAACAAAACTCATGAATACATTATTGGAAATCAAATATTAACAATCAATACAGATATTCTACATTGCTTCATAAGATTAGCAGTGATAACAGTAAATGGCACAACAAACATTTTAGAATATGCCACTCATAATGTGGACACTGATTCTGTGTCATTAAAGGTTACAAGTAACAAGAAAGACGGATTCAATCAAAATTATACATTCAATACAAATCTCAATGGTCGACACGTAAGTAATGATTTCGATTGCAAGCGGTAAATACATAGAACATTAGCCAAAAAATTTGCAGAACACGATTTTGATTGGAAAACTGTAACATAATCCTTAGGTATGAAATTAATGTATTGGAAGATAGTAAAAGTGAGGGAGAAACTCGAACAATTAGATTTTTACAAAGTTTCCCTAATTTTAACACTGATAATTAGATATTTAAAAAAGCATGTAGGAGTTGGAGAAGATTGACTGAACAACGCATTACAATACATTGAAGTCAAATCCCATGGTGATTATAATCGAGGTACACAATATACAGTAGTTATAAATTTAAAGTAATAAGAAACCGTGTCAAAACTTAGCACGACGCTTACGTCCTGTGTATTTAGAGTCACGAGCAACTTCTTTCATTTGGTCCCTGGCACGTTGCTTTTTTTGTTTTATCCAAGCTACACTGTGTTTCGGTAATTTCTTCAACTGTCTACATTCTCTCAAGGTCTCTAGTTTGTTTCGGTTATGATTTGACATCTCATTATTTTCTGTTAGTGGTTGCGGGATACGACGAGTGCTACAAACATCCAGTACCAAAAAGTACCTAAAAATGAATGACCGGTCAATTTGTGTCAAAAACTGAATGAACTTTAGGAAAATAATTACGTACGCCAAAACTAATACATATATCGGGGTAAATTGTCGCTTTTGAAAAGAACACCATATCCTTAATAATGATTTAGGTATTTACCAAAAATATACAGCACAAAATTTGTGATCTCGTGTTGAAGAGGAATTTTGAGAAAGCAGTTATTTAGTGAAACTAGATAATATAGGAAAACCGAAACGACTTAGCTGTAAGTTGTGTCGCAAAACAAAGGTCGAAACATAAGTGGAAAACAGTGTATAGGCAAATGTTTCGAAGAATGGTATTGTCTAAAGACTCCTCTTACAATGAGTAGATCGGAGATTGAAATTTTAACCCACTAATGGCCTCGGTTTGAACAGCCCGATATTATTAACAACCCTGACAAAAGTGTGCCTAGGACTTGAGTACATGAAGCTCTACATTACTAGCAAGGTTTTTATTGTGATGGTACTGACTGATTACTACTTTCTAAAGTGCAGTTAGAGAAGTTACCTATGGATAGTGGATTCAAATTTTACTAACAATGTGACTCTGTAACGATATACTGATTTATGTTTCCAGCCTTGAGACACGTTTTACGACACTTAGTGATAGTTCTTCAAAGTAGGTAATGTCTGAAAACACAAACTGTTGACTTAGATTTTGAATTTTCATACTAACATATAAATTTAAGTACTAGTATTCCATGGCAATTAGGAAAAAAACTTAGTACGGATATTACAGATGGGCAAGGGTCGAAACAGAAATGCTAATGTACCAGAAGCATACTATTAAACGATAAAGGATGACTAAGTATATACCCAATACATATCTTAAACCCTAAATATAGAGAATGACTACTACGTTACGGACAAACAGTACATTTGCACAGGAAACAACTCAGTTTTTCGATGAAGTCTAATGATGCTACAAAAGGTGATTGAGTTCTTCAAGTATTTTACTTTCCGTCAACACTCTCAAAGATGAAAAAGGTTATCCCTAAATGCGATGCCTGACTTGAAAATTTCCAAGACAAATATAAACTTTAGCTGCGGACTAACAGTGTGACATCATTTGAGTTGATCAAACTTACTTTTTTGCTCGAGTACTGTTGGGGTAATCAATTATAAGGCCGCCTGTGAATCCAGCTCTCGTAGCTTCATTCTGCAATAGATCTGCTTGAACCACGGATTCCGGATAAAACTGTAAGACTGCTCGCGCACCACGAGTAAGACTGCTGTAGAGCGAGACGAAAAACCTTCTCAGACGCGCAATGGGATTTTGAGAGGATCTGTCCGCATTGCATAGCCACTGTATTGCTGAAATGCTAATAGCCCCATCAAATGATCCACTGCGAAACGGTAATCCGCAACCAAGGTCACCAAGTACTAAACTACCTTCCACTTCTCTGTCTAATGCGACCTCAAGCATATCTTTACTTATGTCAACGCCAACCCAGTGATGACCATTCTCAGTAATAACTTCACCGCTTAAACCGGAGCCGCATCTGAATTAATAAATGAGAAAAATCGGTTGTTTTCTACCCAATATCTAAAATCATGCATGCTTCATCTTCAGGCAACGCAAGTAATTCTAAAGCCCGTTCCGTGATACGCGTTTGAATATCAATTATATGAGAACTACAAAAAAAGAATAAAGAAATACGAAACTCACTTTGAACTATATTTTTTGGCCTCATCACTGTTATAATACTAGAAATAAGAGAAAAAACTACGATAGTTTACCAGTTCAGGAGGAAGTGAGTGCTCAGGACGCTTGTGTGACATTAGATTCAATCTGTAAAAAGACAAAATAAAAAATAATTAGGCCGTTATATATAAAATTCCCTAAAAAAACTGGCAAAATGCAGTAACTAAATGTAATTCATCATTCTTTGACAGTTAACGAAAAATACTGTAGTACTTCGTGAAGAATCGCTATCACAAGGAGTAAAACAATACTGCAAAACTTGTTTTCATCAAGTCGTTATTGAGATAGTTTGCGCGAACGAATATTTCCTATGGACGTAGCTAGCAGTTAAATGCGTTTTACGAACTAAAAGCACTGTCCCAACTTGAATTGTACTTCTCAAACTTTTGCTGTCTATGTTCAACAAAAGCACTTTTTAAGCAAGAAATTTGCCGTGAGATAAGCTTTTAGAAGATAATTCTGCATTTCGGGTTCCCATTGAATTACTAGTTAGCTGAATGTTTGCTTCAACTTACTATTTGGTATTTACGGTTCACAATAGGACTTTTATTATATACAGCCAACCTGTTTTCATCCATTGTCTTTTTTACGTTTGGTTACCGTTTTGGCTTAATTTTTGGTTGATTTTATTCACAACTACTCATTCACCATGGTCACTAAATACAGCCGTAAGCGACCTGGTTGCCAATTTGCTGTTAACTGAGGTATCCAATTTGGCAAATATAAAGGGTGGTTTCGTGAAGCACGTACAAACCATATGGCGGATGCTTACAATAGATAGTCTGACACCAAGTAGGTTTATGGCACCTGTAAAAAATTTCGAGGACTTCGAGCTGACTGAGGAAAAAGAAGAGCGAAATAAAAGGGAAAATGACACAGGAATAAAAAACAAGTGAGAGTGAATTTTAGTGAGAGCAGTCCGGTTAAGGAAAATATAACCAGAAATCACCTGTTACAGAGTCCCCTTTGACTTCTATCTTGTAAGAAAAAACAACTATAACAGGAGTACCAATGGTTATTATACCGAGTCATAGTTGATAACATCCTATCCACAATATCTCTAGAACATCATCAACAGACTTGTGTGTGCCAAGGGTTAGGTTTAGAGGTTTCCTTAATATTTTTTTATGGTCGAAATCAGTTGATATCAAAAAACAGGCAAACGCAAACGTATAAGCCGGAGTGGCATTTTGCGATTAGAATAGAAAGATATGATAGGTAGTACAACTTATTCTGTTGTTTAATTAAAAAGTGATACAAGTAAGAGTGACCTTGAGAACCACACGCAACGCTATACATCCGAATTAACCACCGTTTCACTGACTTATTCAAACAAATATACCATATTTTATGTCTCGCGATTGTAAAATATAGTGTTAAGATACATTGAATTACGGACTTTCTGTTGAATCTATAGAGGTCTGAACATTCAACATTCCACTTCACCAATATTAAATAAGGACGAATACTTTTCAGTTTCAATTTCATTATGGGAAGGACAGGAGGCTGGATGGTCTGTGTTTTTGCCATCAGTTGTGGTCTCTCGACTCATCTGACTTTACGCTGAATGCGTTGATAGACTGTACTTCAATCACGTGTTGAGATGACGAGTTCCCTTCGTTGATTTTGGGAGGCTATAGTCAGCTGATAAATAATTTGTTCTGACTTTCTGAATTTTCCAGGATGTCCCCGTCAACTCTCTCTTTTCGATGATAAGAAGAACTAAAGGCATTGCATACCCAAATTAATAATTAAATAACTTAAAAACTGTAACCAAGTGACCCCTGGTTCTTAACTATGACAAGGGAAATAAATTTAGTTTAGCCGGTCCACCATCATGCGGAGGCGTTTCGATAACGAAAATCAGTTTAGTTGCGGTTCTGTGAATCTTTTCAAACTGCTCACGTATTGGATATAGTGTCCTATCACATGTGACTATCACATGGCGGTATGTGTTAGTTTAAGTCTCGAGTGTAGACGAATCCTAGGTCATTGTTCGCAATGAACAGGTACCCTAATGCTATTCATTGTGTATGTATCGGTACCTCAGTGATCGGTATGTAACATAATGCATTTGGAAGCATTTGTCTGCATTTGTCAAATGGTAGAGCATCCAGATAATCACTTTAGGACATTATGAAGCTCAGAAATATTTCATCGTTTCGCTCTCCATATCTTGACATTGTCAGCATATAACAAAACCGATGATGATAATAAACTAAGGAGGTCGTTTACATGCAGGATGAACAACGCTGGCCTCAAAAGTGTACCTTGAGAAACCATACTTAATGCAGCTTCCCAGCTAAAAACGTTGAGTCAACCCGTACTCTTCTCAGACTCTCGATTAGCAAGTTCTCTATCCATATAAATTACCACCGATCCCGATATTACTCAACTTAGATAATCGCCGGTTTTGTGGACCTTTGTTAAAAGCTTGCTGAGGTTGATGATGGCAATATCCATAGGTAACTTTTGATCTTTAAGAGCACACCAGCCCTCACAGAGTACTAATAGGTCTGTGCAACATTATTAATTTCATCTGAAGCCATACTGCCTCCCGGAAACAATCCAGTTTCGTTCCAGATGCTTAAATAATTTTGGCGAGACAACAATTTGTAGACGGCCTTCGTGCTACACGAAAGTGACCTTGAAAATCTCCGCCTACTAACGAAGGTAGAATGAGGGTTGTAAACTGGTATGGGCAGTTGGGACAGTATAGAGATGCTATTCAGCAATATTGTTCAGTGAATTTCCCCCAAAATCCAAAACTCGGTATTTTAAATCTGATTGTTCTGTCCAAAACCTATGGTCTCACCACAACTTCTTTCCTAAATCTTGTCATCCACGCTGACTAGGTTTATGGATCCATAGTTCTAAGGTCTGTATCTCAAACCTGTTTTAACAATAAAGCAAACTGTGGCGTTTGTTAATCTACCTTGAGTTAAAGATAGATTGAAAAATCTGCCTATGGGACTTGCGATAAAACTTGCTGGTTCCTTTGGTAATTTAGGATGCGCTCTATCGAGTCCCATGGATTTATCTATATCAGGCTCATTAGGCAGAGCAAAGGCATCAACTTCTTTAGTTTTCACTATATACTTACTCTGTATTGAGGGATCATAAGTGGAAGGGGCGTTTACACAGTATTTACATTGCTTCAATAATCAGAAAATACGTGAACTTTGTTGAAATCTCCTTTCGCAAATGATGTGTTACTACTTACTCGTCACAACTTTTGGATCGCACCTCTTCAATTAGTTCTTTGATTTATTTACTAATATAAGTGTTTTGGGTACCGTGAATACGTCTTAACAAAGTTTATGTTTAATCACAGAAAAGGAATAGGATACGGGTTATCTGTTCGCTCGTGTATCATTTTATTTGTTTTCATTCTAACTAGTATTTGCGGCACAACATCACTCGTACGGACCTACGTTTCACTGAACACATTCTGATTTTTACAAATTTTCCAGTTTTTCATTTTTCATAGTACATTAACCATCTTAGTCAACCACAGGTACTTGCACACTGTCATGAAAACCTTGAATGTGACAGATGAGAAACTAAGGCGAACTTACCGTGGCGATATTGATATTTTAACCAGCAATCCCTAATAGTGACCTACTTTTGTGACGCCGTTGGTTTAATGGAAACAATTATCATAAACAGTTGTGCCAGTGATTGTTTTACTGTACTTGCTTGTTTAACTGTACAGAATACAATTTTTCTTCCGTTGCCTGTGACCTTGCGCGAACTTTCTTAAGCTCGACAGTCCTGCCCATAAACTTTGGCACGTCCTGGTGTACTTTCGATACGACGAAATCGCTAACAAATACATCTTAATACAACCATTAACAGCTTTCTGGTTTTTGGCCTACCAAATGATCCAAATCGATACCTGGCAAGTAATCTTCACGAATATCATTCGTGATGACAATAAAGGTAACAGTAATAATAACAAATATGAAAATACGCGGTCTTCGAATATTTAGATGAAATGAAATGAAACTGAATAAAATAAACGAACAAACTGTGAAAGGCTCCACTATGCTTTACTGTCATCTTGCTAGATGTCGCATCTTGCCTACATAAATCTATGGTAATCAAACTGATATTTAATATGAAAAAGGGACCACTTTCAGAAAGAATGTCGTTAAGAGGACTTTTGAACCTGGTTCTAGTTTACTTCAAAGGAAGCTTGTTGGGAGCCTGTTTCATGTGGTTCAATAGCAAATAACGAAGGAATTATAGAGTAGGTAGAACATTCACTTTATTGCGCAGGATGTGAGATGATACGATAGAGTACGAAGGAATGGATGCCGAAGAATAAGAAATACCGTTTATAAGCCGGGAGAAAAGGACAAGGTCTGGATTATTGCGCTTGGTCCAGAGAGGTTCTGAACTAAGTTGTTGACATATTTGGTGGTGACTCTTGGTGACGGAATACCCCTGAACAGATTTAGTGAATCTTCTTTGAAAGCCTTTAGTTTTCATCAGGTCACTATATCTGAAATTACCGTAAACTGGGGTGCCATATTCAAGAATGGGTATGATACATTTCTTATATAATAGTAATCATGATCCGATGTCATTGAAATTTATCGTTATGAATCCATTGAGCTTTTTTACTTTGATACTTGAGATGTAATATGCTCGAAAAATTTCAAACCTTTGCTGTACCTCAATCCAAAGTCATGAACAATGTTGAGAAGTTTCAGTATTTGATTGTGTATAGCCAGATTTTGGTTAAGGCAGCGGCCAATCTGAATAAATCTACTTTTGTCAACATTAAGTGGCAGATTCCAAGACAAAGTTCATTCTTATAACTTGTTTATTTTTTCTTGGTTTGCTGCAAAAATATGGCTTTATTTGGGGGGAGAATATAATGAATCGACCACCTATAGGTTATCGGCGAAACAGAAAGGTTCACCGTATTGAAATGTGAACACACGTCATTGGTGAAAGGTAGAAAAAGTAGTAGTTACCTACTTTTATGAGGAGAACACTATTGGTATAATGGAAACAATTATTATAACCAATTGTATCAGTTACTATTTTATTGTACCCTCTTGTTTAAGTGTACCAAAAAGACACTCTCCCGTTGTTCATGGCCCTGCATGGACTCTCGTACTCATAGTAGTCTCACTTGTGGATATTGGCACGATTTTGGTAATATTTCGAATACATCTTACTACAACCTTCAACTGCCTTCTGATATTTGGCCTTCGAAGGGGTCTTACATAGTAAATGGGACGTAATTTTCCTGTATTGGTGATCATGGTCAACCGCGACTCGACGCCTATCACATCCTATCCATGTTAAGAGCTTAACTTCGACAAATAAGCTCTATACCGTCTATTGAAAGATCAAGCCATAATTCCAATACTGAGTAAGTCTAACTTGTTGAATATAATCTGTAAATACAGATTTGATTATACATGTTAAGATTTCCAGTCATTATTTTGATAAACTAGCGTATTTCAGTACCTACTCATTGGACCAGGACGGGGGAGAGTTCAACTATTTAAATGATTCACTATACGAACATTCAATTTAATGAGGCTTTCTACTTTAAAGGCTTATGCTTTTCAAAAACTACAGAGTTACTTTCCCTTGTAGACTCGGATTATGCTGATTACACAATCGTCTTCAATTGGAGAACCTAAAGTGGCCATAACTCTTTCTCATATATCCGTTGCATTGGTATTTATACGTGATTTTTAACGAAATTTATCATCGTCCAGTAGTATTTAGTAGTGTTCAAAATTTGTACTTATCATACACAGATCGGTTTTGCGGTTTAAAGTTCGTAAATCGAAGATTTTTGAGAGCGTTCGGCACTCCATTGTGTTCAACTTTCAGTTTCTCGCTTACAAATTGGAGGAATATGATTTGTTCCACACATTTTTTAGTTGGTTTACCCATAAGCCGATTTTTTAGGTAGCACAAAAACGATCATAATAAATAGTGGTTTTATTAAGTCTCATAGATTTCGTCACAGTAAAAAAATTTAACATGAAGCGTAGTGTGTTGCAACAAATTACATTTGAATATGGACTCAGAAAGTGTAATTTTTCGAAACAGATCAAATAAGTGGTATTATTAGCAATGACGTGGGATTCTTTTCCAGGTACCAAAGTTTTCTATTACGTCATTATGATAATCAGAAGTATTTGAATTGCAGTATAAACTAGTAATCCCAGGAATAACGCAATTTAATCAAGAGGTATTAGATGAGCCCGAACGAATGTATTGTATTTTGAATTCAAAATCACAACAGTAATCAATACAAAG